AGATCCATTCTCTTGGTTGGGTTTCGGCAGTTTTCTAGATTTTGATCGGTCAATTTCTTGGATATCTGGGTTTTGGATGAATTACTTGAATATAAACATAAATAAATGTGTGTGTACAGTTGTCTGGATTCCGAGTGGTCACTTACTGGTCAGTTACCTGTGGTGTGAGTGGTCAGTTACCTGTGGTGTGAGTGGTCAGTTCCCTGTGGTGTGAGTGGTCAGTTACCTGTATTGTGAGTGGTCAGTTACCTGTGGTGTGAGTGGTCAGTTACCTGTGGTGTGACTGGTCAGTTCCGTGTGGTGTGAGTGGTCAGTTACCTGTATTGTGAGTGGTCAGTTACCTGTGGTGTGAGTGGTCAGTTACCTGTGGTTTGAGTGGTCAGTTACCTGTGGTGTGAGTGGTCAGTTACCTGTGGTTTGAGTGGTCAGTTACCTGTGGGGTGAGTGGTCAGTTACCTGTGGTGTGAGTGGTCAGTTCCCTGTGGTGTGAGTGGTCAGTTCCCTGTGGTGTGAGTGGTCAGTTGTCTGGGTTGTGAGTGGTCAGTTCTGTGTGGTGTGAGTGGTCAGTTGTCTGGGTTGTGAGTGGTCAGTTACCTGTGGTGTGAGTGGTCAGTTGTCTGGGTTGTGAGTGGTCAGTTACCTGTGGTGTGAGTGGTCAGTTGTCTGGGTTGTGAGCGGTCAGTTGTCTGGGTTGTGAGTGGTCAATGGCAAATGAAGCAGAAGATCCCTGTGTGGTTCTGTGATGATTCCTGGCAGCCATTATAATCCTTGGTGAGATCATAAGATATGTACCATGTATTCCATTGTCCCGAACCTGCTGGGAAGCCTTGTGATGAGGCGAGGCCATAACTCCGAACAATTGGACATTGGGAAAAAATTAAGTAACATTGTTTTTGGCTGCAGAACCCTGTGATACTGGAATACGATAAGGCCTCACTCGGCTGGAATTTAAGTAAGGGGAGTTTAGCTGAGGGGCCCCACTATAATAGACAGCCAGGGCAGGTTAACTGAGAGGGGGCCCACTATAAGAGATAGCCAGGGCAGGTTAACTGAGAGGGGGCCCACTATAAGAGATAGCCAGGGCAGGTTAACTGAGAGGGGGCCCACTATAAGAGATAGCCAGGGCAGGTTAACTGAGAGGGGCCCCATTCTAAGAGCCAGCCAGGGCAGGTTAACTGAGAGGGTCCCCACTATAAGAGCCAGCCAGGGCAGGTTAACTGATAGGGGCCCCACTATAAGAGACAGCCAGGGCAGGTTAACTGAGAGGGGCCCCCTATAAGAGCCAGCCAGGGCAGGTTAACTGAGAGGGGCCCCCTATAAGAGCCAGCCAGGGCAGGTTAACTGAGAGGGGCCCCACTATAAGAGCCATCCAGGGCAGGTTAACTGAGAGGGGCCCCATTCTAAGTGCCAGTTAGAGCAGGTTAACTGATAGGGGCCCCACTATAAGAGCCATCCAGGGCAGCTTAACTGAGAGGGGCCCCATTCTAAGTGCCAGTTAGAGCAGGTTAACTGAGAGGGGCCCAACTATAAGAGCCAGCCAGGGCAGGTTAACTGAGAGGGGCCCCACTATAAGAGACAGCCAGGGCAGGTTAACTGAGAGGGTCCCCATTCTAAGAGCCAGCCAGGGCAGGTTAACTGAGAGGGGCCCCACTATAAGAGACAGCCGGAGCAGGTTAACTGAGAGGGGCCCCACTATAAGAGACAGCCAGGGCAGGTTAACTGAGAGGGGCCCCATTCTAAGTGCCAGTTAGAGCAGGTTAACTGAGGTGCCCCATTCTAAGTGCCAGTTAGAGCAGGTTAACTGAGGGGCCCCATTTTAAGAGCCAACCAAGGCAGGTTATCTGAGGGGCACCATTCTAAGTGCCAGTTAGAGCAGGTTAACTGAGGGGCCCCATTCTAAGTGCCAGTTAGAGCAGGTTAACTGAGGGGCCCCATTTTAAGTGCCAGTTAGAGCAGGTTAACTGAGGGGCCCCATTTTAAGTGCCAGTTAAAGCAGGTCAACTGGGGGGCCCCATTCTAAGTGCCAGTTAGAGCAGGTTAACTGAGAGGGGCCCCAATTTTAAGAGCCAACCAAGGCAGGTTAACTGAAAGAGGTTAGAGCAGGTCAACTTTCCCCTTTTGTTGCCTGGCTGTCTTTTCTCCAGGTCACATTGTTCTTATTTCACAGACGTCTAATCTCTCCAGTCTTCTTATCTGGCGCTTGGTACTTCCCCTTTCCGATTATTTCTGCTTGAACTGACTCCAACCTCTTCGTCTATTTATTACCTATTTCTTACTAAGCACAGACATTAAAACCAAGGCTCTTTATGCAGGAACTTGGGAGACACCTGAAATGTCGCCTTTTAGCTTTCATGTCTTGTGACCTATGACTCCATTTCGCTGGTAGTGGTGATTTAATCATTTGGTTACTCATTAGCTGGCAAAACATTTACCCCGCGGGTTGTGCAACGTTTATTTGAAAAGGAGAGTCGGGTAATTTATGTAAAGAGTGGCTCTTGAAATGTTTACCTGGCCACATCTCAAGGAGCACACAGACCGTCTCCGGCGGCCACCATTGTTCGTGTGTAAGGTTGTCTGTTTTTAACTGGCATGTGGGGAGGAGGGGTCAGTGGGAGGACACGTTTATGAGCCCCTGTTCTCAGTGTGCACGTCTGCCTGTGTGTGTTGTAATAGAAGTAGCTGTCACGTTGACCTGAATCGCCTGGTTTTGTGTTTCCTCCATGTCACCTCTTATGGAAGGCACCTGTTCTGCCTCTGCATGTCTGACTTGAGGCCATGGCAACAAAGCCAGACCCCTGGCCGATAAGATAAACACGTTACGTTCCAACTCCGCATTATTTGATCTCGCTCGGTATCGGTGTCTTTTCTCTGCAGTTTAAAAGAGCTGTTCAACATGACCCTTTATCTCTCTTTCTTTTCCTTTCTTTCTCTTCATGACCTCCCGCCCCTGCCCACCTCTCTCCTCCCCCACCTCTCCTTCCCCACCTCTCTCCTTCCCCACCTCTCTCCTTCCCCACCTCTCTCCTCCCCCACCTCTCCTCCCCCACCTCTCTCTCCTCCCCCTTTCTCCTTCTCCAGAGCACTCTGTAGCGGCTAAGACGGGCGGCTGCTTCCCTGGCCGTTCTCTGGTCACCCTGGAGGATGGGAGCAGAAGGGAGGTTCAGGACCTCCGGCCGGGGAACCGTGTCCTGGCCTCCTCGGAGTCGGACGTCAGCGGGGAGACCGTCTACAGCGAGTTCATCGGCTTCCTGGACCGGCAGCCCGGAGTCCAGAGGCAGTTCTACGTGTTGGGGACGGACACCGGAGCCAGCCTGACCCTCACCGCGGCGCACCTGGTGTTCGCCACCGAGGGGAACTGTTCCGCGGGGTCAGGCGTCACGCGGACTATGTACGCCAGCGACGTGCGCCCGGGACAGTGTGTGCTGACGTCCGGGCCTGTAGACGGCGTGGACCAGGGACCACGGTTACGTCTGTCCCGCGTCGCCTGGGTCCAAATCCGGGTGGACACGGGAGCATACGCGCCCCTGACACAGCACGGCTCGCTGGTGGTCGACGGCGTTCTGGCCTCGTGCTACGCTGCTATGGACCAGCATCAGCTAGCCCACCGGGCCTTTAAACCCCTCCGCCTGCTGTATGGCTGGACGGGCTGGACTGGGTCCACACAGGGGGATGGACTACACTGGTACCCGTGTGTTCTACATTGGATAGGAAGGATCCTATTGGACCCGGAACACTTCCACCCACTGGGGGCCGCGACACATGACTCAGAGAGATAACGGGGAAAAGAGAAAGACAGAACAGAGACCAGAATTGTTAGATTGAAGGAGAGAGAGAAAGGCCCCTGAGAAGAGATGGGTTGTTGCAGGGAAATGATGACAATAAAGAACCGGGAATCCGATTCTGCTGGAGTTCTGGACGATGGGACAAATAAGGGAACCTTCATTGGATGGAAGCCTTTAACAGATCACTGTAGCTTTGTTTTGGGTTTTTGTGCATAAATGTAAACATCTGGCAGCAGAGTCCTGGAAACGTAGAAAATAGCTTGCTGAAGTTGTGCAGCAGAGCCGGATGAACCCAGAGTCGACTGACCCTATAACGCATTTGAAGAGATCTGTGTGTGAACAGTTCAGGGAGCAACAATAGCAAAGACAATATTAATTATTCTCTCATCCTTAATATTCTTTACTGACATGTCTGCAGGGTTTTTATTACTGGGGGAACGGTTCTGACCCGGGTGAAATTTGCTTAAATGGACCCGTATTTCCACAAAGTATGCACTTTTCTATCCGTTAACGTCAGGCTGAGGTGACACGGGTTTTAGCCATTTAGATCCTTCAGAGGGTTTTATCTACAGATACGCTGTAAAATATGACTATATGAGTCTGATCTAGCCTGGGTTCAAGGACATCAAAATGATTGCAGGTAACTGTTTACAGACAGATCTACACACCACTTTGCATCATTAAACTGACTATTTATTTGGAGAACAGTCAGTCATGTTTACCCATGATACATTGTAACTTTGAGCTTCTCGAACATTATCCCAGATCATTTCAGCATCTTTGCTGTGATGAAACAAACCTAAGAAGGAAACCCATTTTTTGCCAGTTTTCAATTCGATAAGAAGTATTGATTTGAGCTCCGCAAATAACTATTGAATTTAGATAAAAACATTGTTAATGATAAAATATATATTTTAAAATCTATTTAACCTCAATATGACCCCTGGAGACAAATGTGAAAACAGCTATGAAGGCAATATCATACGTAACAGACTTTTCCACGGTGATGTTTATTAAATACTGGTGTTATGCAGAATTTAAGATTGTTCATCACTTATTGGGATGATACAAATGTTTGGGGATGAACGGCAATTTAAAGGAACAATTCACTAATTATACGGTTATTCGTGAGCGAGCAATGACCCAACACATTCAACCACACAGTTTGGGGAGAAATAAATTATTCGTTTGATTTAAAACGAGTTGGTCAGGGACCTGTAGAGAAGCTGGGGATTGAACCCAGGACATCATACACACAAAGCATGTACTCTACCACTGAGCTACACAAACTGCTACCTGATACTATATTAAATATATTATATTATCTGTTCATATTATTATAAATCTATACGAAATATTAGATTCCATCCCATTATAATTCTATACGCAATAACAATCTATTGATCCAATTATAATTCTATGGCCTGCAATCATCCTATTTACTCAGTTATAATTCTAAATGTTATTCATATGTTATTACCTAATCATCGAAAAAAGTACAAGATGAAAATATGTTTCAATCTCCCCACTGGGAAACTACTAAAATCTCCAAATATAGTTGGTTGCCAAATTACAAGTAAACCATATTTAAAATAATGTACTTAGAACTCAACATGAGAAAATACGTTGGCCACAAGTGAGCGTGTTTCCAGTGGTTTAATGTAATGTTGTGCAGTAAACCCTTGATTACAAGGCCTAGTCCTCACCTGGAAACGGCATGTCTGCCTACTGACTACAGAAAAGTGCATATAAAGGGAAAACATAGGAAACGTGTACATTCACTGATTCGGAATCAGTCCCTATTTTCTTCTTCTCTTAACACTGGAATGTGTCCCAATACACACACACACACACACACACACACACAAAACTAAACACACAATAGAAATTGTGCTCCTGTAAGAGGAAAGAGCATTGGAGGTCAAGACAAGAAGGCTTCAAAAACAAGAAGCCCTGACCTGTATTTGTCTGTGTAACAATCCTAGAATCGCTATTTATGCAGGAAGTAAAAGCATATTATGTTTGCTTGGACTACTGCACGGGCTGTATTGGTATTTAAGGACAGGTTTTTTTATACACCTGTCTGTAATCTGGTCTGTTCAGGTGTTTCTGTTATGTTATGTGTGTATCTCAAGCTGGCCACAGATACTTTGTGGAGTTGTGTTGTCCACCCCAAATCCAAGGCATTATTTATGTCTGTGCTGAAATACAGCATGTCAGATGTACATTATTATATTATGTTGTAAGAAACAATGAAATGAAATGTTTCTTGTGAATTCTTCACGGTTATTGTCATTTTTGCCTAATGAGTGTGTCCCACTATCATTCTGTGTGATCACAGGTGTAACATTTCAGAAATACCATAAGTACGTAAACCACATGAATCTGCCAGTCAATCTCCCATCGGTCCACACGCCTCACTGTGAATCATAGAAACTGTTTAAATGGCAGGTGCATTTTATTACACACACACAGACCTCTATCCAGTTGTCCATCGTAAAAACCTGGTACCTTTCAGCACCCATTGGCCTAATGCTACCCTAGAGAACATCTCCATCATCTGGGATCATTTAATGTGACTCTAGAGAACATCTCCGTCATCTGGGATCATTTAATGTGACTCTAGAGAACATCTCCGTCATCTGGGATCATTTAATGTGACTCTAGAGAACATCTCCGTCATCTGGGATCATTTAACGTGACTCTAGAGAACATCTCCGTCATCTGGGATCATTTAATGTGACTCTAGAGAACATCTCCGTCATCTGGGATCCTAAAGGCTGTGAAGGCGACCGTCCTGAATCCAGGTAAGTTCCACAGTCTTGTCAGGAAGTACGGGGAGTCATAAACTTTGGCTACTTCCTGTTTATATCCTGTAGTCCACTCCCCAGACCCGGGTTCATCGTTGACCAATGGCCTCTCTGAATTCCTGGTCCTCTCGCTCTTCCCACTCTCGCTGGAGTCGAGTCCCCGCTCTGCCAGAGATCCTGAGAGAGACATAACATCATGACCACCTGAGGAGGTGTACTCTGAAACACAATGCTGACCAGAGGGAGAGAGACACACATCATGACCACCTGAGGAGGTGTACTCTGAAACACAATGCTGACCAGAGGGAGAGAGACACACATCATGACCACCTGAGGAGGTGTACTCTGAAACACAATGCTGACCAGAGGGAGAGAGACAGCTCTGTTGTTTTGTTTGTTCCTCGTCTGTGACGCAACCAACCAACTAAAGAAATGACCGAGATCCTGACAGAACATGCGTCCTGTTATTAGACTTTTTAGCCAATAACAGAGCACATCAGAACGTTTGCTTCCTGAACTTGCTTTGTCCTTTTCACCGCTTTCCACATCTACCACATGTTTACGGAGCGGAGCATTGTGTTTTACCTGGTACAGTGTTGTCCAGTAGGAAAGAAAACATGCCGACCAGCAGCACAGATGAGGTCAGAAGAGACTGGAGTAGAACATCAACGCTGGTTATGCCTGCACACACACACCATTTGTGTACATTAATTAACGACACGTTAAAATGTTAAACTGTAGTTCTTAACTTGATTAGCTACTGTCAAACAAACACATCTGACACCAGAACAACATAGACATTTTTTGTCAACATGAACAAATGCTGGCTAACTAGAATAACGAGTTGTTGTTATTAACTGAATTTGTCCAGATCTTGTTCAGATCTTCTCTGTTTATGCCTATATCTGATCACATGTTCAGATCAGATCAGATTGCATCTTTAAATTGTTGAAATGTGACAGAAATCATGTTCTGAACACTTGGCTACAATTAAAATCTTGGCATCGTGAAATTACCCGTATCTATAAAATCTCTCTGTAGACCAAACCAGCGTGGCAGGACCAGAGACGTGAAGACAGCAAAGCCGGTGTTAAAAATGTTTCGCCCGGAGTCGATGTATGTGAACTGGAAGTATGTCACACCCATTGCCACGGCGATGGCGTAGGTCACGCCCAGAACTGCACCTGTAGAGAGGAGAAACAAAGGACCTTTTATCAATTTGTCAATGTCCTATCACTCAAGTCCTAGCTACTCCTCCTCAAAACCAATCACAGGTAACGATCGAATGAGAGGAACTTCCAAATGTCGAATGAGTTTTTAAGAAGGTGGTGAGGAGAGAGGACATAAGGAATAGAAGAAATGCTTTGAGAATGAGACGGACACAAAGAGGGAAATGAAACCAACCGTAGATTGCCAAGGGGACAGATGTGAGAAGCCCTGTCAGGCTAGGGGACAATCCTAAAACAAGCCCCAAGATGGCTGCCAGTTGCACTGTCCGTCTAGATCCAGCCTGTGATGAGAGAAAGATACTGGAGTCATTGCTGGGAGGGGCGAGGTCAGTCAGGAGGGGGAGGGGGTAAGTCATGAGGGAGAGGGGGTAAGTCAGGAGGGGGAGGGGGTAAGTCAAGAAGGGGGGGGGGTAAGTCAGGAGGGGGAGGGTGTAAGTCAGGAGGGGAGGGGGTAAGTCAAGAAGGCGGAGGGGGTAAGTCAGGAGGGGAGGGGGTAAGTCAGGGGGAGGGGTAAGTCAGGAGGGGGTAAGTCAGGAGGGGGAGGGGGCAAGTCAGGAGGGGAGGGGCAAGTCAGGAGGGGAGGGGGCAAGTCAGGAGGGGGAGGGGGTAAGTCAAGAAGGGGGAGGGGGTAAGTCAGGAGGGGGAGGGGGTAAGTCAGGAAGAGGAGGGTTAGTCTCAATGGGAGTAAGTTGTGTGTGTGTGTGTGGGGTGGGGGGTAGTCTCAATGGGAGTAAGTTGTGTGTGTGTGTGTGGGGTGGGGGGTTAGTCTCAATGGGAGTAAGTTGTGTGTGTGTGTGTGTGTGTGGGGGGGTTAGTCTCAATGGGAGTAAGTTGTGTGTGTGTGTGTGGGGGGGGGGGTTAGTCTCAATGGGAGTAAGTTGTGTGTGTGTGTGTGGGGTGGGGGGTTAGTCTCAATGGGAGTAAGTTGTGTGTGTGTGTGTGTGGGGGGGGTTAGTCTCAATGGGAGTAAGTTGTGTGTGTGTGTGTGGGGGGGGTTAGTCTCAATGGGAGTAAGTTGTGTGTGTGTGTGTGGGGTGGGGGGTTAGTCTCAATGGGAGTAAGTTGTGTGTGTGTGTGTGGGGGGTTAGTCTCATTGGGAGTAAGTTGTAGGTGTGTGTGTGCGGGGGGTTAGTCTCAATGGGAGTAAGTTGTGTGTGTGTGTGGGGGGGGTTAGTCTCAATGGGAGTAAGTTGTGTGTGTGTGTGTGGGGTGGGGGGTTAGTCTCAGTGGGAGTAAGTTGTGTGTGTGTGTGTGGGGGGGGTTAGTCTCAATGGGAGTAAGTTGTGTGTGTGTGTGTGGGGTGGGGGGTTAGTCTCAGTGGGAGTAAGTTGTGTGTGTGTGTGTGTGGGGTGGGGGGGGTTAGTATCCAGTACCTGGCTGAGTCCCAGCAAACAGCCGTTGGGGACACTGCTGCTGAGTCCCAGTGGCGCCCCCATCAGGCCAGCCACCACATTGCCCAGGCCCTGCGCCCCCAGGCCTCTGTTACAGGCGGCAGGAGGGGGAGGGGGGGCCTTCAGGAGCCGAGCAGTTAGCATGTACACTCCCACAGAGCTCACAAATGAGGACAAAGCCACAACAACGCCGGCTGCCATACACCGTGCGGACAGCAGGGGGAGTCCTGCCTCCACTGCACACACACACACACACACACACACACACACACGTTAGTTACACTGATCAGACAGACATGTTAGCTAACTGGCATCTGTGCAGCCACAACAGACCATAGCAACACCACTGACCTGCCAGGGGGAGGCAGAGCCACTGGACAGTGTTGGAGGAGAGTTTTCTCTCAGACAGAGGAGGTGCCAGGAGAGAGGAGTTGACGGACATCAGCAGCTCAGAGACGGAGTGCAGATGCAAATAGCCCAAAGACTCAAGCAGGGCACATATCGCCCAGACACTCAGCACAGGCAGCAGAACCTGCACACACACACACACACACATCACTCAGCACAGGCAGCAGAACCTGCACACACACACACACACATCACAGGCAGCAGAACCTGCACACACACACACACACACACACACACATCACTCAGCACAGACAGCAGAACCTGCACACACACACACACACACACATCACTCAGCACAGGCAGCAGAACCTGCACACACACACACACACACACACATCACTCAGCACAGGCAGCAGAACCTGCACACACACACACACACACACATCACTCAGCACAGGCAGCAGAACCTGCACACACACACACACACATCACAGGCAGCAGAACCTGCACAC